AAATTTGTTTTGGAAGAAACACAGCCATAATACCTCTTAGAAGTGAGGCTGCTCAGACTACCGCACATATTTTGTACATATTAGCAGAAGATCATTTCTTGGAAAAGGGTATGGTAAAATAGAAGGTCAGCAAAAAAGAGGGCGCTTACCTTTTGAACACAGTAGGTGCAACAATAGACCCAAACATAACGATTGTGAGGATGGCACCGCACTAGCTCAGAACCACCTCAGCAGCACCTAGCAGCAAGGTTTAAAACACTAAATCTAAAACTTATCTTTTAGTATTACTAAAAATAATTAGGAGTTTTTCTGTAGTCTACAGTCCAGAAAAGCACTTAATTTTTAAACAGTAATTTAAAAATATTTTACGGGGTAAGAGGAGACTACGAGAATAGGCTAATAGTAACTAATTTTTTATTGAAACTTGGATTTCTACCCATATAATACAAATAAAAGAATCAATGAAAAAGCTTTCAACCTTTTGTAGTTGACATGCTCCAAGTCTTACCAATTGCTGTTCCACAGGTGGTGGCCCATCCTGATTGGCATAAACAATGGCAGGATTATAAAGACTGAACACCACAGGGTAAAATACTTTTTTACCTATAAAAGAAAATATATGTGTATTAACCAGAAAATATATTTGTATTAAAAAATCAACTGCAGTGACACTCTTATGTGTAGGAAAGAGCTTTCTATCGAGAAGCAATTATATACCAAGAAAACATCCCTTGGACACCTCATGATTGCACAGGCTGGTGTGCTTCTTCAATATGGATTTGTTGCTTCTGTGCTAAATGGCCACTCATTTACCTTTAAGCCTTTAAGACCCCAGATACTTTATCCTTTGCTAGCCGGGCACCATCAGTTTTCTTACCACATTTGCTTATGCACCCATTTGTCTTCAACGATTGTATCAGGGCAGTGAGCACACAATGATACGATTTTTTGTTCTTTGACGCCTGATAACTGATCCCTTTGGCACCTCATGATCACACAGGCTGGTGTGATTTTTCCATGTGGGCTTTGTTGCTTCTGAGCTAGATGGC